ATTTGGTTATTGACTGAAGCGGTTTGCAACGGAAAAACAAAACCACAAATTTAAACACACACTCGAGAAAAAATAGAGAACTGACGCCGCTCTTTAATTGTCTCCTCTATTGTTACCACAGTCCTAAACAGATGATTTAAATTCCCTTTTAATTTATTAGCTGTCTCATGGCCTCTTCATTCTGAGTCTTTAATTCTCCTAATAAATATGATTTTCCTTGTTGCTACCAGCTTTTCTGTGATTTGACACCATTGTGCCCCTGTTAGCGCTGTGGTAATTGGCTTTTCAGGTCGCCGGTAACCTCGGCCTTGTGACTGAGAAAATTCTATTGACCAAATGACTAATCAGATGTGCAATAAAATTACTGGACGACATTTTCACATTGATCTCGTTGACTGTTCCCCGTCGTTCCGCATTTGTCTGTAATTCATGATGAAATGTCAGCCGTGTGTTAGTTGCCGTAGCGCTTGCATAATTTAGACTGGGCTGATGAATAGTGTCAGCTTTACTGCTTGTTGTCATGAGTCTGCATAGCTGTACATATTTATTGGAGCCACTGCTAAAGGTGAATAAAAAGCCTTTGCATGAATTGATCCTGTACTGCAGTAGAATTATCTGACAGTTCCAGCTGAAAAAAATCTAACCTTTGAGAAGTTACTCAAAATGATATTAAAACACTTTGATAAATCCCCAGTGGCACAATTATTCTGATCCAGTTGCCAAAGCTTTGCATGGATTGGTTCCCTTTCCTGTTATTTCTTTCGAAGGTTGAGATGAGATAAAAAAATATATATTTTTATAGCAATGCTGTATAACGTTTGTCCACTAGTGACACCAGAACTGTAACTTCCAGGTTTAGAGCCCCTGAAAACTAACTGGTAAAACGACTGTTACGAAATGAACCAGTGATGGCGAACCTCTTTGGTCCTGCAGATTGAGAAATCATAGGCTTTGCGCAAATGTCTGCCCTAACCCGTAAATCCCTTAATCACTATATAGAGCAGGGACTATATAATTGACATTATAGTGAACCCAGTTTACTGACCGTTCAGAAAGATCTTCCCTACTTTTCGCTTCCTGTTGGTCACGTAACTCTGACTTCCCCACACAGCAAATGTGCCATCTTTGTCATTTGTCTAGTGACCATGGAAGATCACTACTGTTGTGCCATAAACCCTGATAATAATTTGGATATTGAGAACCGATGTCCATGTTTCATCTTAACGTGATCACTGTAGAAGAGGATGCAATTTTGCTCATAAAAGAGCAGCGAGACCCCCCCCCCCCCCCCCCCCCCGAGCTGAGAACACTCTCTTTTCGCGAAGTTGCCCCTGGGTTCACATTGGGAGAGGACAACACCATGGCGCCAGGGCCAAAGGCCCAGATCTCCAGAATTACCAAGGATAAGTCATGATGGTTTACTTTTCAGAACTGGACTGCTGCAAAACAGACTTTTTGCAACACATTTTTCTGAGTTTCAGAAATTACAGAGCCGGACTGGAGGGAAAGTCTCCTGAAGAAGCCGTTCCCTTGGTGTGGGCCGCATGAAACAAACAGACTGTGATATAGTTTTCAACCATATTTCCCCTGCTCTTTGTACATACAGTAATAGTTTAGATTAGTTGAGTTTCACTAGTTTTAGTCAAAAGTTTTTAACTGATATATGTTTGACTTGGAGCTGGATGATTTTTGTTAATTAAATTTTATATTTCTAATTGAGGTTGTGGTGAATTTAATCCACGTATGTCCAGAATTATCCGTTTGATTATGATTTAAGCTTGATTCACACTTTCATTTGTTGTTCTAACACACAGCCAGTAGGGTGTGTGTTCATAAACGATATATGACAGTCGAAAAATATCTGATTAAATAAGATAGATGCCACCCCTACCGGAGTGAGCAATAAACATCTTAAAGTATCACTACACTACTTTTCAAGGTGCATTGTTGGAAAATTTGAGGTCTACTACTTTTTCAACCACTAGCTGTTCAGACACTCATTTAAAATGGCATAACCACTATATAGTGCCCTATATAGTGATTAGAGTGGACGTTGGTACACAGCCACTGATTTACTGGTAAAGTTAAGCCCCCATTCATCCTCCAGATTAAATCCAGAGAAGGAAAATATATCTCAACTGTTTAGTTGGCTACCAACTTTGACTTAGTTGACTCTGTTGCTAACAGAAAGTCAGACTGCTGTAAAGTGGCACTATGGGGTCACTAGACCTTTTAAGTGACTGATCCATTATTATTTGAAACATTAACACATTGTTCAAATGGAAATAAAAAAAGAATGAATAAATAAAACTTGGAAAACTTCTTGATCGAAAAGAGCAACTTTTCAAATTCTCTTTTTTTTCCTATTTCTCTTATTCAAGTTGAGTTTTATGAATTGCAGTTTAAAGATCACATTCTCTTCAATTCAAACTAATATAGATGTTGTCGCTAACATTCATTAGGAATAGAAAATCATCTTCATTCCTCACTCTGAGGAAATCCTGCCCCTAGAAGGGAAGAGGATGCATGGTTGGTTTCCATCAAATATACTGCAATAATAAATAATCTAAATTGTAACTGGAAACAGTTTTCTACCATCAGCAGAGCTTCCAGGTCTGTTAATCTCCATTATGAGGAAGATAAAAAAGTATTTCCAGTGATTAGGAAAAGCTTTGCTTGTCTGAGATTGATAGCCTAGCCTGGAGGCTAAGAGCAGCTGCTTTGCTGTATTCTGTTGGACCAGCGATCATCTGGAAGGAGAAAGATGCTTTAATTCAGCCACTGGGGAGCTCTAGTTACAGGACTACCTGGAAAAACTCAAGAGAGAAAGGTTTAGCTAGCCCATCTGGTTCCTTTAAAGCTGGATTGAAGACCTTACTCAACCTTGGGCAAAGCTTGAAGAATGTGCTCCTTGACAGTGAAAACTGTTGGCAACTGTTAAAAAAAAAGTCTATTGGCTGTCCTGAGAGATGATGCCTTTACCCACAGGCCAAACTTTCTTTTGGCCTGGTGTGGACGGTCCGCACCAATAATGTCCGCTTTTTTTCCTTTCCGATTATTTACTTTAGCCAAAGTTAACAAGTTGGATGCAGCTAACTGTGTTCAGAGCGTTTTCAGTCAGTGTTTTTTCCTCTCTCCTGCTGCTCCCGTGTCCCACCTGTCGGTGTAACATCATTGGATCTGTCACTTTGAAACATCTGATTTGCTCTCGCCTTTCACTGCTTAGAGAATAGCTACGTGGTTGGAGGAGAGACACACAGCAGCACTCTGTGAATTTAACCAGCAGCTACTCCGATGTTTAAGTAAAAGTTAGGAGACGGATTGATTAAAAAAAATTAGAGATCATGCCTCTGAAAAATCTGTTTGTTTGACATACAGAGCTTTTTTTAAGCTAAAAATGGCAACAGATTGTAAGTTTATACAAGTTAGTATTATAATGCAAGAAGCTTAAGAAAACAGAGTTTGTTCTTTACTAGTTAAAAAAAGCTTGACTTCTCAGAGGACCATGACTCCCAGTTACAGGTGAAACATAACATTTGTTCTTATTGTACAGACAGACTCAGACTACAGAGCTTCTACATGTCTTGAAATTATGTTTCTGGCATCATTATATTAGTAAATAGTTTCATAAATCTTTGAGCAAAGAGAGAAGTAGGGAGAACTGCAGATTTAAAGGTTAAACAGATTTACCGGGATATGCAACTTGCAATAAAATATATCTTCCAAGTTTACCAGAAAGTTTACAAGGAAAAAATATGCTATGCTATATTTAAAAGGCAGCATATCCATATTTTTCTGGATGGATGGAATTTAAATTGTACTTCTAGGGATGCATAATATATATATATATATATATATATATATATATATATATATATATATATATATATATATATATATATATATATATATATATTGTCATCAGAATCAGCATTTATTCGCAATTTTTTTTAATACATTAATGTTTTTGGGCCCTTTATATGTAATGCACTAAGAGGCATCTCTCTAACATCTATAAATATAAATATCAGTGTATTGTGGTTCTCTTGTGTTCCCAACAACAGCAAAGCATTCAATAAACATATGTTTGAGCTCATTTTTGGAAAATACAAAAACCCTAATATAAGCGTTTGCGTGGAGTAACTATAGGTCCATCAGCCACCACCCTTAGAGTGTCCCCACCAGCTTTCATCTCAAAGCTACACCCTTGCCATTACCTACCTTCAACGATTGGTAATGCTTTGATCCAGCTGAGGAAGGGAGAACTATCAGCATTAGGAGGACAAATTGGTTGAAAGTTTTCTAAGGAAACCCAGTTGATTGCTTCGAGTGACTGACTTGCATTATTCGCTCCACCTACATGAACACGCGGGGACTGTAGACATTGGTTAGATGGGTCTTCAATCAGCATATTGACCTTTAGTTAAAGGAAACCGTTAAAAAGAACAGAAACCTGTGCCTCATCGTATTTAAACCTTGGCTCTTGGTAACCCAATTAAATCAAAAGGTTTTAGCTGAAATTACCAAGGGCTCCTGACGCTATATTTCCTCTGTCTGAAAAAGACATTCTGCCAGTAGTGCTGCTTTTCTTCTTTCTTTGAAGAATCTGTCACTGATTCTAAATGAGCTCTTAGGCTATTCTGAGGAACCTCTCAGTGTTTCCAAATAGCAGGTAGGCTGCTGGAGGATATATATACCATACTGTCCTTCAAGCAGTGATTGGCTAAGAAGCTGGGGTCAGGGTGATAATCATTCCTGTCCCATTAATTTCACAGCTTCAGCCGAGGATGGGGCTTCTTAAAGCTGGCATTATTTAATTAATCATCTTCTCCTGATGGCTGGTCAGTGTTCACCCTATCCATCTCTCACTACCCCTTTCCAGATGAGTAAAGAGGGCTTTTCATCAAGTCTGTTATAAAGAAAAAAGAAAAATGGAAGACTAAATTAATGTGCTCTTTCTCTCCTTCCCCGTCTTCCTCCTCTTTGTATTTTCCTTTCAGACTAATAAGGGTGATGCCTTGGCCAATCGGGTCCAGAACACTCTGGGCTCCTATGAAGAAATGAAAGACCTGTTAACCAGCCACTCCAACCAGAGCCACCTGGTTGGAATCCCCAAAGGCAGCACAGCGACCACAAACCAGCAGCAAGCGTCGAGCTCCTCTGCCACAGAAAGGTCGGCCATGGAGTCCCAGCTGTTCAACGAGGCCTTAAGAGGAGGAGTGGTTGGAGGTGGAGGAACAGAAGGAAGTGGGGAAAAGAGGATGGGAAGTGCCGCACCGTCTTCATCGTCAGCCTCCATGCAGCCGCCTGCAGTCAACACGTCATTGTCAAACACAGTGGCGGTCCCGCATCAGAGCTCAAAGAAGTCCAGGAGCTCCATGGAGTGGTCAAAGGGAAGCCAAGAGACGGGCCTGGTTTTGGGTTCGGGATTGGCACAGAACGGGCAGAACCCTGCAGCAGCGGCCGCCAGCAGGGGCAAGATGGCTCTTTTAGAGGAACAACAGCTGCAAAGAAACGAAGAGCTGTTCAGCTCTCTTAAAGATGAACTGGGTCTGAAAGAGGAATCAAGCCCTTCTTCCTCATCTTCATCCTCTTCCTCCTCCTCTTCCTCTTCCAGAAGGCACTCGTCCAAAAGCCATCCCCTCCCAGGTAGACTCTACTAAACCTCTGTCACGTTAAAACGGTCTCTCCATCTTTGTGCTTTTATATGTAGGATTTTATTCCACCTATAAACAGACTGTGGTTTGTATTTTTCTCTTTCCCTAAATATAGACTTAGACTCAACTTTATTTATTCCTTGGGATAACTCTTTAAGGGAAATTCTGGTTCCAGTAGCTTATGTAAAGTTCAAAGAGTTAAAGCAAGATGCCATTGAAGATTAAAAAAAATATGACAGATAATATAAAAAGAGTGTATATAGTACAAAAAAGCATAAAAAAGATAAAAGTTGTAATATGTAAAGTTTTCCTTAGATATAACAATATGTGCACGGTAGAGAGCTAAGGGAAGACTACACAGTAGTTGACTTGGGTTATTGCACTTACACTGCAGAAATGTACTGACCTTATAAATAAGGGGGAAAAAAACATTAAAAGTAGCTAGGTATTAAAGGTCTTTACCTCCGTCTGTGTATCTGTGAACAGGATCCATTTAGACCTGATCAATTTGCAATAAATAACTAATTCTAGGCACTGTGAGGAAACTGTGACCTCCTAACTGGTAGCTGCTAACAACATATGCCACTAGTGCTGTTTATGTAGGAGTCTGGAATACATTTGATCAAGTCTAGTTAAAAATCTTCCGGTTAAATATGGACTGCATGGATCTACACTGAAAAGAATGCAGATTACAAGCGCAGAAACTTGGCCCGGTCACTTTTTTGCGGTTTGTCGCTACCGTTCGCTACGGCTGGAAGACGTTTTTCGCGCACATGATCCAAACTGCAAGCACCATTATGATAAAAATCTAACATGTTTCAGCATCAGATTTTGGCATTTTAAGTTAATTTAGGCATTAATAAACTGTTTCAGAGAAGTGATCATAGCGCTCTGCATCAGCAGCTCTGTGTCTGTCTCCCTGCCAACTTCTCTGATTGGTTGATGTGGCGCGTCGAGCAAGAAAAGCTAAATTTTTCAAACTCCAGATGCTGCTGCTTCTGAAGCGCATCCCGTGCATCAGATGCTCAGATAGGCGCTGCTCCTGCTGCTCAAAACGCTCAGCAGGACCTTTTGCTGCTCCTTGATGCGCGTCAACCATTGACTTTGCATGTAAAAGCTCATCAGCCCAGTTCTGAAGTCCTTCCACTGGCTCCCTGTAGCTCGGAAAATAGACTTTAAAATCCTTCTGTGAGCCTATAAATCACTGAATGGAACAGCAGCTCAATATATAACAGATTTATTGTCAGTGTATCAACATCCCAGACCACTCAGGTCTTCTAGTTCCAGCCTACTCTGTTCAGCCAGAGTTAAAATGTTAACTGAGGTATCATCAGTTTAAGGTTGTAGTCAAACTTTTTTATTTGCTGCACTGCTGCCTTTTATCATGTTTTTATCTTTACTTTTTTCTTCTTTTTTTGTTGTTTAATTCATATTAAGAACTTTTAATTGTCTTTTTACTGAATCTAGCTACAAATAAAGTTGCCTTTCCTTTCCTAGACTTTCTAAACAAATCGTATCCATCTATAATCTTACCAGCTAATATCATTTAAACCCAATAGGAGGTTTTCTTTTCATATTTACTTTTATGAGACAGATGTTTTCCTTAAAAAGTCTTTAAGTGCTAAAAAAAAATAGATGTAAAGACATTCGTTCAAGTTTATGAACGGTTGTTTTTCAATGTTTGCCTGTAGCATGAAGCAGATTTAAGGAAAAAAATATTTCTGTCCTGATAGCTGAAAATGTTTGAAATTAGCATTTGATTAACATGATTTTACCAGAAAATAAGGTTGATTTTGAAACCCCAGAATATCATATTTACTTTTAGTTTTTGTTTTCATCAGGTTGATTTAACCCTTTGTGTGTTTTTTTTCCTTTCTTTCATACAGATGGTGGCACCTTTCGCTCCTCCACCTTAGATGGTTGCCACTTTAAGTCTTCCTCGGCCGCAGAGAATGGCGGACCTTTTAAATCCTCCCCGTTCGAACATGAAACAAGTTCCCACCTCTCTTTATCCACTTCCCCGCTGGCTTCCACTTCAGTTCTGACTACACCCACACCTGGTCTGACCACACCCACATCAGGTCTGACCACACCCACTTTCCCGCCAGGCTGCCTATCGGGGAAGCACGTTCCTGTTCAGCAGAAGCCGACGGCATATGTGCGACCAATGGACGGCCAGGACCAGGCGCCGAGTGACTCCCCGCAGCTTAAACCCCCTCCAGTGGCAACAGAGGGGTTCACCAACAGCCAAAGCTTTGGAGGGACCTCTGGAAATGTGAAGAATAAACTGCCAAAGCTGAACCTCAGCCACACAGGAGAGGTAAGACTGGAATTAATGTCAAATGCTTCAACGTTTAAAGACTGTCTCTTCTAGTAGAGGCAAAAGCATTGTTTTTTTTACAAGGGCGTAGGTTTGATTTCAAGGGACACTATTGGTCTTAAGTTTCGTTGGTCTGATGTCATTGGTTCTATGCCGTGTCATTGGTAAAAGGAAAACCCTCAAATTTTATTTTTTTAGTCAGCTGTGGCTAACAATCCTAAGTTTTCACAGCTTACAGTCTTTGCTCGTCCATTTTTCCTGCAGTTTTCAGAACTGCCGTCTGACTCTTTATAAAAGAAAAAAAAGGTTTTTGTTGATAAAAATCAAATCAAAACACTTTCTTCTGCTTCTTACAGAACTGCAATCAGCAGCTTCCCCCTGTTTTAGCTTAGATAATGTTTAGTTTTTTAATAGGGACTAGTTTCATAGGCTTATATTAAATGTGCTAACAGTGCTGAACTAGCTTGAATAAAATTTTAATTTCGCACTCCAAGCAAGCACACACATATAGAATAGAAAATAGGCAATCAGGGAGAGAGAAGGCAGAACTTAAAGTCGTAGGGAGGCGGCCGTTCCAACCAATACAGTTCTCCTGAGTGGTGCCCGACTTTACACGAGTTAATACAGTGAATTTGATTGGTAGTTTATCAAGGGGGCGGGGTTGTTGTGGCGGAAGATTCGCAAGCAAGTTTGATTGTAGCCGGTTTGCTGGAAGCATCTTGCTAACCAGTTAGCAACTTAGTGCTAGTAGGTTTCTAATGGTAAATTCCATTGGGACCAAGTAGCACTAAATTGGTGACTTAGAAACGACACTGTCAAAGAACGCTATGGACAGAGGAAACATGCAAGAGGAGGAGAGTTTAGTGTCGGAGGTTGTGGATGAGTCTCCTCCGTCATCCATTTTTTTATTTAGAGGAGGAAAGCGGGACGAAGATGTTGTGGAAGAGGACGCCAGTTTGTCTTACAGATGATGCCACTTATGTGACCAACTGTCCAAGTGGAGAAAATACTACTTAACTCTGATGTGTTGACACTAACTGTGTGCGGTGGCTTGCCCAGATTTTGATCATTAAATTGTTTATTCTAACCAAAATAGCTTTAAGCAACTAGATTGGCTGTTTTTCCAACCAATCTATTCTTAGAATCTATCCACCTCACAGCAACTCCTACAAACTCCCACATTTGGACTGAATACTGAGGCTGTTTAGATGGCTGTCAAAATCAGTGCGCTTCCTGAACCACTTCCTGAAGTGGTCACATGGTATCACGGTAGCGAGGCCTCGGACATCATCAATTATGGCCCCTCCTCTAAATGAATCACGCCTCGACACACGCTTTGGGGAAGCGCCCCCTCCAGTACTTCACGCACGACTCGAAGCTTAACTAGTCATTAAATATTAAATATGTATCTTGCACATCTAAGCAATATGTATTAATATATTTCAAAATATTATAAATGTTAATTTAAATTTAAATTATAAAAAATATAATTTTTTTTATGTCTTAATCAGGGTCATTGGGTAGGTGCGGCGGTGCCATAGCGCCCTCTATTGGCGCCACTGGTATAGATTAAATAGCGACTGCCTTTTATGTTAATCAGAATCCATGTTGTTTGGGGTTTGAGTCAGTCCATGTCTTCTACTGTGACCGACCCAACCATAGAAAAATGGTGCTGCGCCGCACAGTAAAAGGGATCCACAGGCGGTGCAGAGGTAGCCCATTTTCCCTCATTGTTTTAGGTCATTTATTTATTTTTGAACAATATTAGGAACCAAAAGCTCGATATCATGTTGGGCAGCTGGAAATCACAATATATGGCCAAATCCATTTTTCCCCCCTACTGCTGTAGCTGTTTATTTCCGGCTTTAAACATTAATTTTGAGGTTTGAAACAGATGAACTCACTTTACAATTTTTTATATACCTGAAGGCGGTCAATAAAGTCTGGCTCTTGTTCGGTTCTTGTTTCATAGGTTGAAGGAGTCTTTACAGAACACTTCAGCCACTGAACAACATCTACAACACAGAATAGATCTGCCAGTCAAAGCCTCACTGGTTGGTGCACCACAGGAAAGGGAAACGTGCCAGAACTGCAGAAAAAAACAATGTGCCTGTTTCCCCTTTAATCTAATTTTTGTTTAATGGAAATGAAACAAATGTTAACTGGTGTTCACTTAGAGAAAACCTGGAATCACACACCTTGACAAACAACGAAGGCCAGTTTCTCTTGAAATGTAAACACATTTTTATCAGTGGTGTAAATATGTCACTCACGTTCACATTTAGTCCTAATCCACAATCTGTTTGAAACTTGACACGCAATTATAAATTCAAATTAAAAGGCAGAAATATAGATGTTTTCGTCATGCAGGAACAGATTCCTCCTGATTTAACCCTTTAAATTATTCAAGAGCATCTGCTTCAGCTTGTTAACGGTGACACATACTGTCAGTCTGCTCCGGATGTCAGTAGTCTGACTTCATGTTTTCCCTTCTTTAGACCCACTCCCCCTGTTTTGTCTCTCCATCTCTGCATCCCTCTCTATCGTCTTCCCTTGAAACGTTGCAGGTTGTGACGATGACGCGCCTGTGTGGGTGCGTGAGACTAGTTGACAGGCGAGCAGCCATCCATATCGAGGAAGCCAGCTGTTCCTTGTGCTTTGATAGGACAGATCTGTGTCTGTGTGGTGCAGTAAATGAGCCTGAGCTGGAGCTCTGAGCATATGGCACTAAGAGGGAGATAGAAGGACAGACAGCAGAGAGAAGAGGGAAATTAAAATGTAGTTTACTTTCATGGTCACAAGTGTTTCGACTGAAAAGGCAAGGATGCTTTTCTGTCTGGCTTCATACTCCTGTCATGGTTGTTCTGAAGAAAGCGTCCAGGAGGGAAGGTGGGAAGTCGATCTGGACTAGAGGTGAAGGGAAGGAGATGAGGAGACACACAGGAAGGAAAAGAGAAGTGAAGAGAAAAAGACAATGACTGTCTGATTACTGCGCCTTATCATGGCTGTATTTGTTCTGCTTAGATGACTTCCTGGATGTGTTCTGCAGCTTAAATAGCAAATAGCAGCATAGCAGCAGAGTAGGGTTGAGCCAGAAAGCAAATGAAAGACTTCCAGCTTGCTTCAAGTTTGATCTCTGTCAACAAAACACGACTATAAGCACAGAGAATTTATATGTTGCCTTTATAGATATCCTGTGCTTTCCTTTTCTGTCACATTTTCAGACAGTCAGCGAAATTTGAATTTGCAAACAAAAAATTCGGTTTTCTAATCCACATTTTTTCACACACTGGAAAACATAGAAATCTAGAGAAGTAATTTTTTCTTAAAATAAGTGCATTTGTTCTTGTATTGAGGAGGTAAGTAAAATACTTTTCCAATGGCAAAAGACAATTTACATTTAAAATAAGAAAAAAAAACTATTACATTGTCTTATTTCAAGTGCATACTATCTAATTATCTTATTTTAAGAGTAAAAATACTAATTCCATTGGCAAATAATCTTATTTACCTACTTAAAATAAGGATAATTACACAATTTAAGAAATGTTGACTAATTTCTAGTTTGTTTTTGCAGTGTATCTGATCCGATTCTGATATTTGAATTTAGATATTTGTAGATCCAGAGGTGTCAAGTGACAAAGTAAAAATACTCTGTGACCTTATTTAATTAAAAATATTGGCTATCCTTTACTATTTATTAGTTGTATAGACGATTTACTGCTGCTCCTTAGATTTTTTTTTGCAATTATGTCTACTTTCTACTCCATACATTTTAAAAATAAACTCCTTGGTTGGCAAACTAGTCCTTAGTTCGCCACATACCAAAATAAATAGTTTTTCAAGATGGTATTAAGTTAAATCTGACACTGTTACCATTAGTAATAAACCTAAGAAAATTAAGTTTAAGGAAGTTATCATCCAGAATTGTAGAAACATTTTACATTTTACTTTAATAGGGTAGAGCAGTGTAAGGTTTAACATATTTTCTTTGATTACTTCTAGTTTATTGTACACATGTAAGTCCAAAATTGCAACTTTACATCAGTCTAAGGTCATAAAAGGAAGTCATAAAAAAGTCAATGCTGTTACTGGGACAAATTCCATCATCAAAACAAAAATTCATCTGTAAGGGTTCAAAAGGAGAGATTCCTACAAAAGAATACATTTGTCAGCTGTTCAACAGATTTTTAACTTAACTTAAATTTGTTATAGAACTAGACTTAACAGATCTTCCCTTGTGGATCAGGTCCATTTTCACAGATACTACTGTAAAGGTATAGAGGATGCTCTTTTATTTCTGTCCGGATCATCAAAATAAGTGGTCCTCCTAATTATCAATCATTCTGGTGATATGTTTATGTAAGGCCGTCCTACGTGCTCCTCGCCATTTTCACTTACTGGTGGTGAGTCTGACATGGTGAAAAAAAGGGAAATCTTCTTTTGGAAAGTGAGCTTGTTGGAGCAATGCAAACAGCAACTTTTAAACAGAGCGTGCACGAGGAGAAATGGGCTCTCGCACGCGTTAAATAGATGTTCCCTCTCAGGAGCGGGCTCAGGGTTGTGCATGTGCACTTTTTTTTTAAGGGGAAAGGGTGAGTTTTTTCAAAAGTTCATTGAAATGAAGTTCCGATCGGTTTACGTCTACCAAAAATTTTCATTTTGTTTATAAAGGAGATAAAAATAAAATCAAAAGGCAACGTCTGCAGACTTTTATCTATGCAAGAAACAGTACAATATCAGCAGATGGGTTAAAAACTAACCAGTGCTGCCCTGATCGTTGGCAGTATGCTCTACACCTGTGTACAATCATCTGGTTAGGGTGAAGCATTCTGGGAGTTGCAGTTCCAAAGGGCCTGTCTGGGACATCTACACATGCAGGCCTTTTTAGATATACTTATCACAGGTGGTGCAGTGGTTAGTAAGCATGACCCATGTATGCGACTGACCCGGGTTTGAATCCGACCTGTGGTCTTTTCCTGCATGTCTCATCCCCTTTC